GCATTGAATCAATGAATCTCTATGAGGAAAGTTCAGTGTCTCAATGCAGAGGGTTAAGACACTGAATGGCAGTGCTGTGCAGCACTGACCCAGGAAGCACCTCTAGCAGCCATCTGAGGAGTGGCCTCTGGAGGTATACCTAGGCTGTAATGTAAACACTGCCCTTTCTTTGAAAAGACAGTGCTTACTGCAAAAAAGCCTGCAGAGACTGACTATACTTACCAGAACAATTAAGTTGTTTCCCTTTACATATGGTTCTTTGCCTAAATTGCCCCCCTCTCCACCCCCCCCCAAAAAAAAAGTTATGGCCTGATAAAAAAATCCTATATACTATTGTCACTCATTTTATTTATCATTATAAAGTTTTGTTGTCAAATTTGCTTTGACGAGGAAACGCCTTTACTGAGTATTTAGAAATGTAATTTTCCAACACTTATCAAATTGCTAAAGAATGGGTTAATTCATAAATATGTACTCCCAGTACTGCAGCAAGAAACCATACTGACTATACACCTGTCACAGTTCCAAAAAAACCAATCACGGGTGTTTATGCTTTGTGTAGTATTACATGTCCTGCAAGCCAATCACTTCACAGACGCTGGTTCGTGCCTAAAGCACTTGCCCTTGAATTGACCTTGAAGTTCTTTATTTAATCAGTACATGATCAGCCCTGTATACCGGAAAAAGAACAATAACCTTGAAAAACGATTTTCTTCTTAAACAAAAGTCTATAATTCACCTTGGGTTTAATTGAATGTAGCAAAACTTTCAGTGCTTCTCTATCAAGCACGCGGAACACTTAATCTATTTAGAATAGTGTAACATTTTTTTTTTTTGATTACATAATACAAAATAAACATTTTTATAAAGGAGTTGTACGAAGTCGTAAATGTCTCACGTATGTTTATTTTGGTATAATTAATTGCTGTTAATGAAATTATATTTTTGCTGAATGACTTTACTATGTTTGGGCTGATTAATTCTACGCTTTATATTAACAATATTTTTTGTCATTTCGGCTCTGAAATAAGCTGTTATCTTAAGGGGAAAAATAAAAGCATTTTCTCGCTTCGGAGACGCCATAGACAGTTGACTAAATATTTACTCAATGTCCACAGAAAAAGAGAAATAAAAGCTTTTTCATTTATTTGATGTAAACATTTATTTTATTAATGTTGCACCTAACGTGCTGAAAGCTATTTCCGAGAGCATTATGCCGTATTATTCCCCGATATATTAAAACACAGTGCGCCACATAGCTGGACCAAATAGCATAAAGCAGGCAGAAGAAAATAAAACAGAAGGAGACCAATTAACGGCTAAATCCTGTTAATGCCCGTTAATCTAACAGCCAAGTTCTCTCTGACAGTTAGCGCTTTCATTAGTTGCTGTGTGATAGTAAGGGATCTAAATGCAAGCATTTTGCATTTATTTTCAATGGTGTAGCCTGCATTTTGGTAAAAGGACAGATAGGATCCCCTTGAAACTACAATAAAAGTATTTTAAAGGCTTTTAAAAGCATTGCTCTGGTGTGACAAATTTAGCAAAAAAAAAAAAAAATCAACTCAGAGGCAGGTACAAAAGAAAGGTCAAACGCAGTACGGTCAGATAACTAGAAAAAAAGTTTAGAGAGATATATAATAGGAGGACGCTTTGACGAAAAAGTTTTTTTGTTTTTTTTCATTCAATAATGGTATTCGGAAAGAAATGATTTTTGATAGAGTCACAAATGCATATAAAAATGAGTTTGAATTATTGAAAAGCACATTTGTTGGAGTAAATTAGAAATTTTCAGCTCATTAGATCTAAAAGGCTCAGTGTTATTAATTGTGACATGGCCTGTGTGGTCTCTTACAATGAACGATACTTCAGCATTTATCAGCTGGGATCATACAGTTGTAGTCTAAAGTGGTCCTGCCACATTTAAATGGTTATTACATTAATCAGTGCAATATAAAATGAAGTCTACCATCTGCTGTTAAACATCTTCTTCACTCTTTTGACAATGTTTGTCATATAATGAAGCATTCGGCTGTATGACTGCAGTCTAGCACATCTCATGGGCTTCAGGTTTAATGGGTTGACACAGAGAACCAGGAACTCTGGAAACCATGTCCACTAATATTTCTTCACCATCCTCAGAGCCACCAAGATCTCCACAAGGCTATACGAAAGAATTGCCTGTCACCTTGTTTTTCAGGACTTCTTCTCGTGTTTACTAACAGCACAGGAAGTCTTATGTTGCAGAAGACTAATTAATTTATTTATTAAAGTAATCCAAGACAAGAAAACTTCCACTGCACATGCTTCATGAAATAGCTTTTCATGTACAACCCAACCACACGAAGAAGTGATGATTCCAGGGAAACACGGGGTATCTGTCAAACCTTTAGATTTATTTTAAAATATGAAAGCTCCCAGACTTTTTACCAAATCCAAATGATGTGTATTTTCTACATTCTCTCCATGATCCTCTTGGCTCTCACGAGTCAAGAGGATCAAGCTACAAATAATAGCACATATACAGGGCTGGTTTAACATAGAGGCTGACAGAGCTGAAGCTCCAGGCCTATGCCATGGAATAGGCCCATTAATAACATAAATAAATATAAATATGCAAACATGCAATATATAAACATGCTCTTGCTTTGTGCAGAGGCAATTAAGTATTGAAACGTAAGAGTAATGTAGGGATGCAAAACTTGTGTGGACTAGCTGACTATAAATTAGTTAAGCTAAAGCTGACTTTGCACATTGTGTAAATTTATATGTTTATAACATATTTTACCAGGATGGATACATTGAGATTTCTCTTGTTTTCAAGTATGTCCTGGGTCCACAAAACATTGCATTGATACAATAGGATACAATATTATAAAAAATACAATATACAAACTATATATATATATATATACAAACATATATAAATTTAATACATAACAGGTAATAAATATATTCAATCATGATAGGTGCATTCTGTACTGGGGTATATAGCCATAGATCTCTTAAAAGATTTTAGATTGAATTAAGATTTGACTCTGTCCCTGAGGTTATTCCATAATTGCGATGCTCTGTAGGAAAAGGAGGATCGAGCCACTTTATTTTTGTATTGCGGTATGCTAAATATCGTGCTAGTACTGGATCGGAAGTTATAGGAGGTGGGAACAGCCAGGGAGAGCATTCTACTCAGGTAGGGTGGGATCTTCCCCAAAAAGCTCTTATGCACAAGGCTGGAAAGATGAAGAGTGCGTCGGGGTTCCAGCGACAGCCAGTTTAGTTATTTTAAGATGGTGGGTAAAGTAATTACATTCTAGTACAAAGCGGCAGAGTGAATTATATATTAAGGTGGGATTGCGATGCAGATGCATACATGACATCCTCATAATCAATGAGCGCCATTAGCATTTGTTGTACTATCTGTTTCCTTACTGGTGGGCTTAGGCAGGATTTGTTTCTGTACAGGGCACCTAGTTGCGGTAAAGTTTTGAAAAGCTTTTTTCAATGTGAAGGCCAAAGGATAGATTGGGGTCTAGCAACATACCTAGATATTTGAAACAGCAGACTTCTCTCGGTGTGCTATTTGAATTTGTTCTGATACATAGTTGTTAATTTTGTAGTTTACGTACATTTTGTAGTAGCTCTTGCTGACTTTGATCTCTCTAACACTGTGGCATGTCACCTTTCTTCTACACTTACTACATCCACCTTTTCTCCTTCTCAAACTGTATACCAGGAGCTTCTGTCTACTAGTAAGAAGGGAAGGAGAGGAGTGGACAATTGAGTGCTAGGGGACAGTCCCCAGAAAGACGTTTGTGCCAAGCTCAGAGTGCTGTCTGCTTAGTCCACCCTTAGTTGGCCAGCCTGCATGATTGGCAGGCAACCTGATATGCATTCATGCCAGGCTGACCTCCCAGTTCTTCAGGGCATGTCCGCCCCCGGATAGTGCCGGTTAGTTTATTTGAGTGAGTAGCCCACCTTTTTACCCCCTACTGACATCCTGATTCTGGTGTTAGACAGTATGGATTTGTTTGAGAGATGAAAGCAAGAGATTAGGATAGGGTATGTGTTTTCTTATAGCTGCATCTTGTTAGTTTCATCCAGCACCACCTCCACCAGATACATGATGCTTTGGAGGTATAACTGTTTGAGTGTTTTCTGTTGATAACATTATGTAATCAGGCCCCTTGAGCTCTTAATCTGTCTCTGCACTCATAGCATGGGGTGCACATTAGTACCATGATGGTGTTACAGACCTGACAGTTCCACTTTAATGCTAAGCTTCTGAGCAGTATTAACAGTTTGAGAACTTCTGTAACACTGTGTATTTAATGTTCAGCTGTGGAGGGGCACAGAATTTGTAACAAATTCTAAAAGGTGGATACATATACAAATCCAGATGCCCAAATTTACAAATATGCATACAGTGACAAGTGTCTACATATGTTTATGCAAGCATCTTCTGCTATTACACTGAGAAAGATGCTTAAATTCCCACCGGACAAATAAATTAAATGCCTTCTTTACCCTGTATGTGTAACAGGCTTAACAAGTGGTGGTCAGGGTACTTTTTTTTTTAACAACTTGAATGCAGACATTGTAGGTAGGGTAACCTCCCAGCCACACGTGCATTCTAAGATAGAGCATTTGCCCTGGTGCTCCCTCCATGGATTGGTCAATGGGGTATTCACTAATGAGCCCTAATGAGACAAAACCATTTCTTTTGCTAATGAGACCATTGGACTGCATCGGACATTGCTCACACTATTTTACAACCATGTTGGAACAGAAGCCCTAAATAGGATCAGAGAAATTATTATAGCTGGGACACTTGAGTATAGCTTTGCCGCCTGTCTCTCTTTGGCAACAGCAAGGCTACAGGTGCATAACAACACCTGTCCTTGCACAATGAGCCCCTAATAATGATGTCCCGAACGGTTCGCCGAATGGTTTGCCGAACAGTTCGCAGCGGACGGCGAACATATGACCCTGTACCTCACAGTCAGCAGACACATTCCAGCCAATCAGCAGCAGACCCTCCCTCCCAGACCCTTCCTCCTCCTGGACAGCATCCATTTTGAAGCTGCATTCTTAGTGAGCTGTCCAGGAGGTGGGAGGGTCTGGGAGGGAGGGTCTGCTCCTGATTGGCTGGAATGTGTCTGCTGACTGTGAGGTACAGGGTCATATGTTCGCCGTCTGCGGCGAACCGTTCGGCGAACTGTTTGGACATCACTAGCCCCTAATTAACACCTAGATAATCTATATTTTATTTTCTTTAATAGTCAGGTTGATTATTTCCTCAAAATATTATTGATGTAGTAGCTTCCTATCTTTCCCATCTCTTAATGAAGATACAAACACATTCTTCTCTTCCATAATGATTAGGACAAAACAAGATCTTAACTATTGGATTATGCAATGCTTCTGCTCAACATAGTTTTGCATTTCGTGGCATTCCTTGAATGCATAATTATGTTTAATGTTATCTATGCATGTTGAAAAAAGCAAATGTGCATGTTGTAAGTCCTTGACATGTGCATTCATTGCTCTCTGCCTTGAACAAATCAATCTGTTTATGGAAGAACACAATGAATGTGCATGTCTAGTAAATACAGTGGACTCCTTAAAGCGATACTATGGTCACAAAACAACTCTAGCTTTATGAAACAGTTTTGGTGTATGGACAATGTCCATGCAGTCTCACGGCTCAATTCTCTGCCATTTATTACTTACATCACTTTGTTTATGCAGCCCTAGTCACACCTCCATGCGACTTGCATAGCCTTCCTAAACATTTATCACAAAGTGAGATCTAATGTTTACACTTGCTTTATTGAAAATGTTGTATAATTTAGAATGTCTTGTTTAGCTTGCTAGACCGTGCAGATGCCTTCTGTATGTAATTAAAGTTAAATTTACAGAGCAGGAGAGAAAAAAAACGTCTAAAACAAGTTAACTTCAGATTGAAAATTATTTTTATTTTTTTTATGCAGGCTGTGTGAGTCACAGCCAGGGAAGTTGTGGCTAGGGCTGCATAAACAGAAGCAAAAGTGATATAACTCCTAAATGGCAGAGAAATGAGCAGTGAAACTTCAGAGGCATGATATAAACATAAACTTCTTGATTAAAGGGATACTATAGTGCTAGGAATACAAAGTTGTATTTCTATTACTATAATACCCTTGCGCCCCCCTGCCAAGCGCTGTAAAGGCTTATAAACCCTTACCGTACTTACCCGATTTAAGCACAGATGTCCGTCCCTAGAGGCTGGGATGGCACTCCACCCCCTCCTACATCACTCGACAAAGGGGGCATATGCAGCGAATGCCACAAGTGGATTAGCCCTTCCCCAGAGGAAAACATTGCTGTAATACTTTCCTATGGGGATTTGACTGATGCTGGACAACCAAAAGTCGCCTAGCAAGCAGGAAGTGCCTCTAGTGGCTGACTGATTGACATCCACTAGGGGCAGTCTTAACCCTGCCTCAGAAACTGCAATAATTAACATTACAGGATTAACTGGACAGGGTCACTGCCTACAGTGTCCATTAAACTAAAGCTGTTTTGGTGACTATGTGCTCCTTTAAACACAGAGATGCTGGCATTGCTCACACTCAGCATTCCGGAATTTATTGAACTACTGCTCAGCAAGAAAATAGACTAGCAGAGAATTATGGGTATAGTAGTCGGACAGCTTCCATTTATGTATGAGATTGCTGAATAGTTTTGCTGCTTTTTCAAAGTTTTCTAAAAAATGTTACGTTGTATTTCTTCTTGCTTCCCTTAAATCTACCAGCATCTGGCATGTGCTTCTACCACACACTCCCAGGTCATGAATAATAGTCAACTTAAACCCCCGAGGAACCACGCTGCAACTTTTGTCCAATCGTAGCTGTTTCAGTCTGGTAATCTGACTGCCAATCTTTCTTGCGGAGGCACACGGCTTTAAAATATGCTTCCGACTTAGGTATAAATAATGAATGATCCGAGAGAGATGATGCTGGTTATATGAGCATTTCAGTTAAGCCTGTGAATTGTAAGACATGTTCTAAACCTGTAAGGCCAAGCTCTCCTCCTCTGCAGACAGCGGGCACAGACAATTTGAACATACCTTCCATTATTTTGTTTTTGTTTTAGTGCATATTGACAAACTCCACATGGAGAAAAGCAGTCGTGCTGCGAGGCCCCAGAACAAAATATCTGTATTCAGGGATTGTGGGACTGTCATAAACCATGGAAAGGAAACTCGGGTGGTTTGAAATGCAATCAGACCCCCTGAGCTAAAGACATAATATACTTTTACTGCTGCTGAATTCTTTTGCTCTGCATGGATCTTCGCTCCAAGGCACCTAGTTCCTCGTCCCCCGATACAGCTCACATACATAACTGAAAGCTTCTGTCCAAAATCAAGGCAGTAGATCCTAATTCTCTATTTTTCTACGTCGTTCTTTCTTTATTTTAGACAGCTTCTTTTAGGCTATATAAAATGGTTTGTCTTCCCTTTTGGCAAGTCGTGTTTGGGTAAAGGTGTGAGAGATTAATGTGATGGCATGCTACAGACACATAGCCTAATGGAATTTTTTTCTCAATGTTTTTGTTTTGTTTTTTAGGAGCTAACTTGGAGCATACTTTGTCACGTCCTAGCACATAATGACAGAATACTGATTTAATAGTTCCGATTAACTCTTTCAGGTCCCTGCTAAATACAGCAACAAAATTATTAACCGTTTGTACTTTAGTTTAAAGCGACAGTGTGATCTTTGCAAGTGTAGACTCTTTAAATGTACCCTCACACACTGACTATCCTTTGTAATTTAATTTTAATTTTTTTAAATTGTATACAAGTTTAACTATTACTATTAGTTTTTTCATCTTAACATAAATGTGCTGTGTGAAATCTCCCCTAATTGTTTACTCATCTCTTTATCAGTTTCCTCCAACATAAAGAGAAATGAATAAATTTGTGTAGTACTACACACCATGGGAGCTTTAATGGCTCTTTAGCCACAGTGTTCTACGATCTGCTGACTGATTGCAGCCTTGACCTGTCATCGAACTGCACTGCACACTGCACCTTTAATGGCTTATGATGGGAGTTCCCAAGCGTCATAGCATCAAACACGTGGCGATTGGAGAGCCAAGCTTGATTGATGTAAGAGGTCATCCAGTGAGTACAAATGCTGATTTTGTGCACAAGTACTCAATCAATCACTTACGTTTGGGCCAGGTGAGAATGTATGTGTTTGGGTGAGGGAGAGAGTGTGCGTATGTTTGTTTAAGAATGAAAGAAAGAGTGTGTAGGAATGTATGCGTATTTGTGTACAGCTAGTGTGTGTGCATAAAAGACAGACCACATAAGGTTAGGAAAGTAGTGGGAGTAATAAAAAAAAGGATGTCAAAACAAGGGAATTTGGAAACGTAATTGAAAACAGGGGAGAAGAGGAGTATAAGAGGTGAGAAGGCAGTGGAAAAGAGTGAGCAAGAATGAAAGAGAGATTGTGGAGGAAGAATGGAGAGCAAAGAGAGGGTGCAGGAGATTGTCGGTAGAGGAATGGATAAGAGTGGCAGGGAACGTGCAATGGAGATCAGAATGCAAATAGAAAAATAGAGTAGAACGTAGAAAACAGATGGGGAAGCAAGTTTAATAGGGGGATACAGCATGTGATAGGGATGGAAGAACATGGAAAGGAAATGGTAGAGTGAGGAAAAATAACATCATAGAACTTTGGAAATGAGGGAAGAATACATTATGTTAGGAAGAGAAAGCTTGGAAGAAACGAGGTTTCCAATACTGAACCAAATCCAGTGCCCTCCTAAAGAGTCCTGAAATCCAGTGCCATTCTGAAGAGTCATTCTGATGCACACTTGTCACCCATGGCATGCGTTGGCATAAAAAGTTGTATTATAAAACAGGGGACAGGAAGCTGCCAAAATGAGTGCTGTCAGTGTTTAATTGAAATTTTTTTATATTTTGCCTTATGTCATGCAGATGTGCCATTTAAGTTGGATAAATATGTATAATGTTCTGCTTCAGTTTACCACAACTTGAAGTTTTCCGTAATCATAATTCCTCAGTGACCTTAGATCTCCCCAATCCTAATTTCTTCCTAATTCGTAACATCCCGTACCCTAGGACTATTTACCCATATTGTTAAATACCAATCTCCTGCTCTTTAAATTGAGCTTTGATCACATACATGAGGCCCCACAGGGTCTAACAAGCTATTAACCAGGCAGGAGATAAGAAATTCTAAATTAAACAAAATTTGTAATAAAATAAGTATAAACATTAGATGTCTCTTTACGGGAAGTGTTTGGAAGGCTGTGTAAATCACATGCAGGGAGGAGGGACTACTAGGACTGCATAAACAGAGTGATTTAACTCCTAAATGGTAGAGAATTGAGCAGCGAGATTGTAGGGGCATGGTCTATACATCAAAACTGCTTCATTAGGCTAAAGTTGTTTTGGTGACTAGTGTCACCTTAAGTCTAACCTCATCCTAATCTCTTTAACCCCTTAAGGACCAAACTTCTGGAATAAAAGGGAATCATGACATGTCACACATGTCATGTGTCCTTAAGGGGTTAAAGAAACACAAAAAAATTTAAGATTCTTAATAATCGGAATCTATAGTGTGTCCATAGAACCCTATGTAGGGGATAACCCTTATATGTGTTTACAAAGATTAGACTGTAGGTGATCCCTAGCAAAATAAGCTATGGGAGCACCGAAAGAGAAGGGCTCTCTGGGTATGCACTTAAAAGCGCCATAAAGGCGCTTTAGCAGCGCCAAAACGGACGTTAGGTTCCATGCTTTTTAAAAAAAAATTATTTATTTTTTTTAGCATGAAACCTAACGTCCGTTTCGGCGCTGCTAAAGCGCCTTTATCAAAGGCATCAGGTTTCATGCTTTTTTATTTTTAATCACAGCATGGATTTATGTGCTCACTGGGTGGGGAAGCGAGATTTATTTAAGTCTATGGAGTACTAGGTCTATCTAGACTTCTCTACATTAGACTATAGGCAGTTATGTACTTTTCTGACTAAAGGACTTAGTTACATTTGTAACAGCTTATTACTGCTATATTGATAGATACAGTCGTATTACTTATACTCTCTATGATACTTTCAGAGACATTGGAATAGGATAGATTGTGTACTTCTG